CTGTGAGAGGGAGCAGACAAAATACTTGAAATGGCTCATGCCTCTGTGTTTTATAGTTGAACAATTACTTACCGTATCCAGATTTGTATAGGTTCCAGTATTAACTCACACTTTTGGCTTATTTATTATTTGGCCAGATGTCATTTGCTCTTAAGTCTTGGCAAGAAGAACCCTTCTCCTGGGGCCCACTCCTTAGAGACTCCTACCCTTGCCCTCTTCTGGTCATTCTTCCCGCTGGGCAAGGAATCCACAGGCCAGGTAGATTTATTTACTCAGAACCATGCCCCCATCTTAGGCCACACTCTGGGTACCCAGACCCCAAAATTCCTGCCCAAGGACTGGTGTGGGCCTCCTATATTAATCTATCCTTCCGAGGGTGGACTGTGCCATTGGTATGGCACCACAGGCCCAAGGAGTGACCAAAAGAGGGTTGTGATTTGGCCAGAGCTTGACTATATGGGCTGGGATCCTTCTTATGTGTGTATGAGGCCCGTCACGATGTGGGCCAGGCCTGGGGGTGGTAGAGAAGGACATCGGTCCGGGCCAGGACTACTCTCCAAGAACCACCACATTCTGGTGTGGTACTCTGAGGAGCCAGAATACTCTAAATTCAAACCCATTTTCTAGGTCATTATAAACATATATATCTGTCAAGGTAAAAACTAGCTTGTTAGCTTCAGCTACATTTTTTAAGTATTTAGACATGATATGTGGGCCCCCATTTTTACTCTTGCTCCAGGCCTCACAAATAATGGGACTAGTCCTGCTCTTGGAATAAGTTTGATTTTGAGTTTGTTTAAAATTATAATATAAAGGCCTGGTAACAAAGGGTTGAAGTGTGAGTAGTGGGTGGGCTGCTTTCCACCAGTTCAAATGTAGCACTGCTCCCAAGCAACGTTCCAACTATGTCTCAATGCCCTGGCCCTGCTCCCTGGCCTGACAGGAGAAATTGTATGTGCATGCATATGTGTGTGTGTGCATGTGCGTGTGCACACATGCATGTGCGTGTTTAATATCCATTAAGATATTTTCAAATAATTCAAGCCCCATACTGCTGCTCTTGTCTAGATTATTGTTGTTTCCTTGCCAAGCAACTCTTCCCAGTTGACTTCCTTAAGCTGCTTGGAGTTAAGAGCTGGGCACTTTGAAGGCCTCTTCCAAGTGAAAAAAGAATAAACTAAAAAGGGAATTGGGCCAGGCATCCTTGATTGAATACCACTTCACTTCAGCAAATCCCTAAGCCTTTCTATCTGTTTTGTCAGCTGTAAAATGAGCAGACTAATTCAGCCCTACCGCAGAGTGGCAGGTTTAATTAACGATGATGGGGACGAGCTTTGTAATGTAAAGTTGTATATAAATGAAAAGGAGCACTGGGGCCATTTTATGCAAGTCTGGAGTGCATCCTACTTTCCGCTGCCACCTTAAGCCTCTAAATCCTAATCACAGACGGCTACAGACCTCAGGGGTGCCGAAAAGCAGGGCTGGGCTCACATTACCTGAACAGAAAGCAGGGTTTGCTAAGGGGAGTGGAGTGCAGAGTGAAGAATCAGTGCACAGCTCAGATTTCTGGCAGCACCGAGATCCACTGGGTCCAGCTGGTAGTAGATGATGGAATAGTTTCTGCAATCAAAGTACAAAGACCAGGTGTACCCATTTATTCCTGGGGCTGTCCTGGAAAGATCTTTGAGATCTAAAGTGTCACACTGAGGGGAGAGCTCTTTCTCTGAGTGCAGATTCTTCACTCTGCACTGTGCTCCGCTCTGCTTCTTCCTGTTGTCCCTGTTGTGGTTTGCTGGCTCTCCTTAGAGGTGTTTTCTTCATGGGCAGTGTGGATCAACCATGTCCTATTCTTAGGGGTCACATTCCACAGTACACTTAAAGACATGGCTACATGATTTGCCAGAAGTCATACCCAGCCTGGTGAGGATCACACCTAGGAATTGATTACTTTGGCTAACATGGGATTTCTGTCTCACACAATTCATCTAACAACATTCAAATGCAGCAAATCATAACTTTTATATACTTAGGAGACATGATCTCTGCTTCCCTTAATCTCCTGGAGACTTTGTGTTTTTAGGGTGACGTAACATATTCATATTATGTCATGAATAACTATGTTTGTACAGCTTCTTCCTTAATATTAGATGACCTTGAGCTCCTTAAAAACCCTGAGAGGGTTTTAATCATTTTCTCATTGCTCTGACATCAGTGTCTTCCTTATAGGAGACAGACACACACACACACACGCAAAATATTTGTTCAAATGCATTGAAAATAAAAAGACCTAATGAGTGATGAAAAATGATAGAAATGGGAATGGAGGGCACAGTTATCAGTGCACAGTTAGGGAGTCCTTATACTCATTAGGAAGCTTCATTTTCAAATATTTTTTAATGTCTTGTTGGAAGATTTAAGTATATTATATCGATCATAAGATCAAAGGTTTCAGCCAGACTTAGACTTATATCTTGGTTCTGCAAGTTACCATTCGTGGGACCTTAGGAATGGTACTAGACTAGCTCTGTGCCTTAGTTCCCTCATCTGTAAAGTGACGCTAATAATACCATCTATCTTATAGAGATGTTGTACAGAGTAAGTGAGATAATCCATGTAAACTGCTTCACACAGTGCCTGGTACAAAATAAGCACTCATGATATCATCATCATCATCATCATCATCATCATAGATGGTAGAGGAAGGAGTCTTGGTTGCTCTCAGAGCCTAAGAGTATAGTCTTCAGATTTAACAACCTGCCGCATAGCTCCCTTAATGGCACCTTATAAATCTGAAGCATGATCCATTAAGATCAGAACCTTCAGATTTTCTGCTTCTAGCCCCTGCTTTCAGATTTTACTCTTCGGATAGTTAAAGAAGTATGAATAAAACAGTTCTCATTCAGACATAATATGAAGGCTGTTTAAAAAGGTACTTTACAAATTAATTACTTGTATCTATGCACAGTAACTTTGTTGGTTGTAAAATATATCATTAGGCAATGTAGATGCTTATAAATGGGCTCAGTTCCAATATACTTGGTATGCTTTGAGTTTAAACTGGCTTTTCCCCTCAACATGTGGTCCCTAGGTTTGATTATTCTACATGAAAAAAAATGTTTTTGTTGCATATATTCATCATCAGTTTTCTGACACTCATGAAGGTGTTTTCAGTTAACAATGTCCAGTTATTGTGCAATGTTTCAGGGAGAAGGCAGAACAACTGAAGGGTGAAGACTTAGACTACTGGAGGGAGCAGTAACCTATGGGGTCTCCATTCAGCCTATGCCTCCTTTCCTAAGAGCTTCCCCTAGCCCCCTCCACAAGAGTGGGCCCCAGGAGTCGCTATCACCCCAAGTACCCACTGATGATTAGAGGAGACACTCCTGACCCAAGATAAGACAACCAGATTCTTTTCCAGGGCATCTGGAATTGGGACACAGGCCTTCTGGTCAGTAACTACTGGCCCTGGAACTAGGGCAGCATATAACAAGGAACTGGCATGGCCATTTCCACTATGTGCTCTGGGAGGCAGAACAAACTGGGATGTAGAGAAAGGAGACTGAAACAGTGTCAGGGAGAAGTGGAGATGAGAAACCAGGTCACTCTTGAGAGAAAAAAGGAGGTGGCAAAAGAATAGCCATCTCCATTCCCAGTGGCCTCTCAGGGCTTTGTTCTGACCCCCATGAAGCCCAGCTACCCTTCCTGCCCTGGCCCAGGTCCAGTACACTCTCCGTTTTAGCTCAGGCAAGCTTGAGATGTATCTGTTACGTGAAACCCAAGGAGCCTTGGCTAAGTGAGTGAGCTCGCAGAGAGAGAGAGGCTAAGCCAGGGATTCCGGTTACACAGGCAGGGTCTGCCTGATGAGGACCGCCTGGGTGGTCCAATCACATTGGCCTGCCAAAATCAGACATGCACACAAGTAGTTTTTGCTGATGATAAACTGAATGGAACAGAACTGTTTCTAAAACAAAGTTCTCTCTTAGTCACCTTTGGATATACTTTCTTGTGTAATAAGGTAAATAGGTGGCATTCTAGATGGCACACCCTGAATTTTGTCCAATCCTGAATGCTTCTACAGGGGTATGTGTGTCTGTGTGTCTGTGTCTGTCATTGGTCATGCATGTTGCAACAACAGCAACAAAAACACTGGATAGGCACTGGTCTCTTCTAACCATCAGTCAGTCCCTGTTGCTGGGCCACCTGACACTCATCCACAGCTTTGGCCCTGTACCAGATTTAGCGACAAATCCCGTTTCCAGCTGAAGGCTTTGAGAAGCCCTATTTCAGTAGTTCAGGGGACACAGGTTACCCTGTGATTTGTCTTGCTCTGATCAAATACCCTGGTTCTGACTTCTGGGCTTCTGCCTTCATCCTGACACAGTCTCAGTTCTGATTCCCTCCTGCAGGACCTGAGTCCTAGATTGCTCAGTATTCTGCCCCTGCCTCCATCACCTGACCAGGACCCTGGTCTCTTCAAAATCAGGACACTAATTTGCTTATGTCTATTTTCCCCAGTAGCGTACCTGAAATGCAGACCAAGCTGGGAGCTTGCTACCTGCCCCTTGGTCTTGTCAGGCCCACACTGCCAATCTGGGTCACGTACACTGTTCTTCCCAACATCTCCCCACCACTCCACCACTGCCCATAATCATATTTGCTCCACTTATGGGACATCTATCTTTTGCTACCTTCCAGACCTTTCTAACCCTGAATCTCTCTAAATTACTATGTCACCTGTTGCTACTCTGAGGACCTGTGTGGATTACTGCAGCTCTGTCTGTCTGGCAGACTTCTGCCCACTGACTTCGATTGGGTGCCAGTTACAAAGCCTAGCACACAGCAGGGTGACAGGGAGACAGTGTGGTGTGGTGGAATGAGCATGATATGAGCCTGGGCATCCAGAGTAGATCTGGGTTCAAATCCTTACTCCTTCATTTGCTTAAGTTTCTTAATTCCTCTAGAACTCAAAAGGATTGTTGAGAGGATTATTTGAGATGATATGTCTGGCAAATTTTAGTAGTTATTTAATAAAATACAAAATTTAGTATTTAATAAGATACATTTGCCTTTCTTTCCTGCACTTATATATTTTTTAACAGATTTATTGGTATATAATTCACATATCATTCAACCCACTGGTTTGAAGGGTATAATTCAATGGTTTTTAAAATATTCACTGGACTTAGACTCCTTAAAATGCAATTATAGCATAAGGGATATGAGGTTCAAAAACAGTTTAAAAACTAAGGATTCTAGTCAGCTATAAGTTTACATAAACCAATCGTGTGGTGCCATTGCACTGCCCAAAAAGCTTATGTGCTATTGGGCTGTACTGACACATATGATGAGAATAAGACAAGCAATGGTTCCACATTATTCTGAGCCGCAATGTGTTAAGTCATTGGGCCTATTTTAAGAGGGATGTGGCGCACGTCCAGAGAAACACGAAAAGGGTGATGAGAAACTGCAAAGACTGTAGGAGCTGGTGATATTTGTCCTGAAAACGTAAAGCCATCCTCAGTTAGCTCTAGGGCTGTCATTTGGGAAATAAGTGAATGTATTTTCTGTTTCCTTTCTAGGCAAGAACCTCAATAGGTGAATTTAAGTTAACAACAAGCAGATTTTGACATGACATAAGGAACAATTAGAGTTGGATTGTTCCTTACTAACCTGAAATTCTTTATTTAATAGAAACCTCTCTATTCACAAGTCAGAGAGTAATGTCTTATAGAGCTCTTACTCTGTTATACGTTATGCTCAGGTGGGCAAAATGATCCAGTAGGTCAACTCTTCTTTATTCAAGGTCATCTGGCTTGGGTTTGTCTAGTAGTCCATTCTTTCTCTTATTTTTCATTTCCACTTTCTGCTTTTTGATCTGAGGAAAGAGAAAAGGAAGCCCCAAATTGTCAATATGGATATTTTATGAGTAGTTCTGATGATAATGGAAATATTCCTAAAATTCCTAAAATAAGACTTTGGCATTACCCAAACAGGAGATTGTGCTCATTTCTTCACCATTCTGTGTAAAGTGACTTCATTTTAGTACTTGACATTGGCCATGGTGGCAACATTTATGGAAATTTGCAAACACTACAGATCAGCAACACAACTCTCCCCCAGACCATTTTCCAGTGCTTCACTGCTCCAGTCTGTGCTACCCAATGACTACCAAGCTGGCACTATTAATAATGAATGCAGACCTTGTACTAGATTTTTGGACTAAATGTTTCTAGAAAAAATATATCTGAGCCAATGGTATTTACTTTCATGTAAGGGCAATTTGGAATTTAAGTAGTTTAATATAGTTAACTAGTTTCTGATGAGTGGACTATTTAGGAGAAAATATTTGTGGAATACTACACTTTCCCTACTGCCTTCTAGGCCACACCTCTTTTTCCTTGAGGAAAACCCATAATAACCATGGTCTGCACAGCTACTTATGGAGTGATTGTGAGACGGTCTAGGAAGACATCTCCAGGACAAAGGCCCTCTGGAAACAGAAAGATAAAGCTCGCTGCTGGCCAGTGCTTGTCCTGTACAAGTGGCTCCTTGTGCCATCTGTTGGATTTTGAAAGAACAATCTCTCAGCTTTTGATTAAAGGTAAAACTCCTGCAAACATTTTCTGCAGATGGAACGTATTCACAATCTTCCTTAAGGCAGAACTATTGTAAAAACATTGCATTTTACAAGTCATTATGAAGGAAATCACCATCAGCCCAAGATTTCCAGAGCCAACTGATTTCTATATCATCAAGCTCCTGCAATTACAACTGAGCATTTATTGAGTACTCACAGTATACTATCCACTTTACAAGCATTATCTCACTTTATATTTATTTAACCTTACGAAATAGGTATAAATATTTTCATTTTACAGATGGAGAAACAACTTAACGAGGTTAGGTGGCTATTAGAGTTAAAAAGTCTCTGTGCTCCTGGGAAACAGAGTTTATATGACCTACTGCTTTGTAAATAGCAGACATTTCATAAATAGTTGAATAAGCTTTTTAATGTGAATAAATAAAATACCATTTTTAATACTTTGAACCCTTTGGGTCATTAGCCTTTCAATCAGCCTTTATCTAATAGTAAACCAGAATGATTTCATTTATTTTGCCTGTGCACACTTTCCAAGGGAAGAGCTCTCTTTAATATCTCACCAACCCTAACATAATTTAGGATTATTTCCCCAATTTTAGAAACAAGTTAACTAAGGCTTAGCCAGAATTAAGTGGTCTTTTGATCTTTTCATCACACCAGGTTGAGGAAGAGGAAAGGTCAAAGGCATGCATCATGAAGAATCTAGTAAAGTTACAACTGGAATAGAAGGGTTCCAGATAAATTACAGGTGCAATAGTTAATCCTCAAAGAATGACCACCAAGTCAGTTACATTGTGTGTGGCACTCAGTGGACACATTCCTGTGCCTATTATGCACTGTACTAGGCATGAGGGAAGATGAGACCAAATCCTGACCTTAAGAAGCTTGTGGACTTCTAGGGAAGAGAAGACATAGACACATAAACACAAGGAGATGAAATTACAGTACAGGAACATAAAACGAAAGACCACACAAGACAGCAATGGTTATTAAGCAATGACTAATGTAGGCAATAAGTGCTGCAGGAGTTCAGAAAAGGGAGAGGTTACATTTGTTTCAATTTTTGCTTACCTCAGCATCTTCATAAAACATCTTCACTATGAGCTATGGGAAGACAATGAAGTTTGAACGAGCACCTGGCCTCTAAGTAGCTCACTTTCTTCCCTGGAGACTCAGGCAGATAGTGAGAGGATTTGCAGGAAGCAATAGGTGGCAAGATGAAGACAGCAGAGGCCTGGTCATCAAGGCAGGCAAGACAGTGCTGGAAGGTCTCACCTGACTACTGAGTCTGGATACTAATTAATGTTTTCTTTTTCTCGGCATTTTTCCTATTTCTACCTTTAAGCAGGAGTAGCCTGTATCTCTTTCTGGGCTTTGCTTTTGAAAATTTTGAGGCCTTAGGAGAACTTAGAGCAGTAGTTCTCAACCTTGGCTCCTCATGATACCACCTGGGGAGTTTCAAAAGATACTGCTACCTGGGTACCACCCCCAAATACTCTAATTTAGTTGACGTAGGATGTTCCTTTACTGGTTCTAATGTGCAACCAAGTTGGAGTATCATTGATTTAAAGGATTCGTAGGTGTAGTTAGAGAGAATGAGATTTGCTGTAATGAGCAAAATATCTTGGAGAAGAGGGGAAAAGGGGAGCTTCCCTGCTCCAATTGAGAAAAACAGCCTTGATTTGTTATCCCGGACTGGTAGGAATCTAGATTCTGGCTACCCGACAGCCCCACAGGGGTTGGCAGGAAGACTCCAGAGAGAATGGCAGTGTGGTGTATCTAGGCCAGTATTCTCACACTGGGATGTGCACAGGAATCACCAGGGGATCTTGTTAAAATGCAGATTCTGACTCAAAAGGTCTGGGGTGGGGCCCGTGGGTCTGCATTTCCAAAAAGTTTCTAGGTTTTCCCAGTGCTGCTGGTCAACAAATGGCAAATATCTGCATGTTCAGGACTCTAGGCAGTCTCCCTTAAGATTCCCATATCCATCTCAAGCCATGACATGTTAAAGGGTTCCACAGGCAGGGACAATGGACATCCCTGGGGTGACTTGGTTGGATTAATGACCGAGGAGCAGATGGACTCCGTTTGAAAAGCCTTCAAGGCTAAAATAAAAAGGAGCCCATCTGGGCAGGGGATCTCCATGTCTGGGTTCTGGCAGATCACAGATGGCCCATTCAAAATGGGCAACTGAAGATAGAGTCATGTAGGGACTATTTACAAGGTTGGGACATGGTTGGCAGAAACCAACAAAAAATTGTGAGACACCACCTCTCAGGCAGAAGGGCCAAAAGGAGAGGAATTGGTGATTGGAATCCCATGAGGCTTGTGGGGAAGGGACACCTGAAGCAACTGTTACTGACAGAGAAACACAGCCACTTGTGAGAAAATAGCCCATCAAGGATAAATCCAGGGGAATAAATAATTCCAATACTGCTCTTCTCCTACCCTGTGATTTCCTACAGATGCCTCCTATTGGCCTAACCCAACTAGAAACCAGAGGGCAAGAGAACCCAGCTGCTATAGCCCATCAGAGTCAGATTCCTGGGCACAGATTGGGTAGCTTAAACAATAGACATTTATTTCTCACAGTTCTGGAGGCTAGGAAGTCCAAGATTAAGGGCGTCAGCAGATTTGGTGTCTGGAGAGAGCTGACCTCCTTGTAAATAGATGGCTGTTTTCTCCCTGTCCTTATGTGGCAGAAGGGAACTCTCTGGGGCCTCATTTATAAGAGCTCTAATCCCACTCATGGGGTTCTACCTCCCAAATGCCTCACTTCCCAATATCATCATATTGGGGGTCAGGATTTAACATATGAATTTGGTAGGGGGGAGAGGGACACACAAACATTCAGTCTATAGCACCAGCCCAATAAGGGCTCAGCCTCAGTCAGAAATAAAGTTGGTATGGAAAATAAAGAAAATAACAGCACAGTCTGCATCTGAGACTCTTACCCCTTATAGAAGGGAGTTTACATGAGAGTGTTAAATATCTTCATGAATGACATGGATTTGAACCCCTAAAATGGAGCTTTTGGGACAATGGCTGTGACCCTGTTGAAGAACTGGTGTGTACAGAAGAGGTGGCCTTTCAGAAGTAGATGTTGATTTCAGAAATGTGTTGAGATTAAGTCACATGTGCTTTGAAACCTGCCAACAGGTGAACAATAGAAGGAAGAAAAAAAAGAATGCAGCCTTGTTATAGTTTGCTAATGACACAGATTTCTCTGAAATTCTCAGAAAAAATACTCAGAAAGGCAGGAGTGTGAAAAGTTATTTAGGGGCCCACCTCACACCCCAACTTTCTTAAAAACAAAACTTAACTAAACCTCTGACCATCTTTCTGAAAAGAAAGGCACAAGCCTGAGGAACTCTAACCCAAGGGAAAATGGGATCTGACCTATTTAGAACCAGTCTTGGCCAGCTTGAAATTTAGCATGAGTTGGGTTCCCGGTTTACCTCAAACACCGGTGAGTTTTCCCAGTGTGTGAAGTTGGTAAAGGGGGAAAGGGGAGGAGATAGCTGCACACTTCTGAGGTGAAGGGAGCCAGGTGCTGCCTGGGAGAGTTCAGCAGCACTTCTCAGATCTGGCCAGAGAGAACAGCTGGAGAGTTCTCAGGCAGTGAAAAGAACTCCAGCTGGCATTTTATGGTTCTCTGGGAAGCCAGGTGGGAGCTCCTCCTGCAGGATCCCTGAGAATAGGCTACCAAGGCAAAGGGACTCTGGGTCCCTGCATCTGCCTGCATGTCTCTTCATCTGCCATCAGTGCAAGGACCTAGGGGACATTTTAGGAGAAACTGAACTCTGGAGGAGGAGGCAGAGTTATAAATAGAGTTCAGGTTTTCTTGCCCTTGAGAGTTTTATTTCTCATGCTACCACAGTTTCTCAGAAGTTGGAGGGTTTTGACACTGTATTGGGCATTGGTTAAGGAACTGAAGCAATAACTAGGCCTGATCATTAGAAGTTGTTCTGAGATCTACTACACATCAAGTGCCAAAAGAAATTCCAGGTTAATTAAAAAGTTAAAGGATAGCCCGGCCGGGCATGGCTCAGCGGTTGAGCGTCGACCTAGAATCCAGGCAATCGGGGTTCGATTCCTGGTCAGGGCACATGCCCAGGTTGCGGGCTCGATCCCCAGTTGGGGGCATGCAGGAGGCAGCTGATCAATGACTCTCTCATCATTGATGTTTCTGTCTCTCTCTCTCCCTCTCCTTTCCTCTCTCTGAAATCAATAAAGATATATTAAAAAAAAAAAAAAGTTAAAGGATATCACAACAAAAGAATTAGAAGTATAGGTAAATTTTTAGCTGATCCTAAGGTGGCCAAGGCCTGTCTAAAAAAGGAAAAACCAATAGGTTTAAAATATACAGGCATACCTCAGAGATATTGCGTGCTTGGTTCCAGACCACTGTAACAAAGTGAGTATTGCAATAAAGAGAGACCTAATCCTTTTACTGGTGGAGGGTCTTGTCTTCCATTTGTAAAGCATGCGACACCTGTGATGTGCAATAAAGCAAGATGCAATAAAATGAGTTATACCTGTAGTATACAGTATTTTTTGTGTGTATATATATACAATTAAAACTTACTGTATGATTTTTAAATCACACAAAAAAAGGATAAAATTAATAGAAAACAAATTGGGAAAATATTTGGTTAGTATCTTTAATACAGAAGAACACATAAGAAAGAAATAGATGGTCAACCCAACAGAAAAGTGCTAGTGAGCAATAAGCATATGGAAAATATTAAATTAATACAACAGTGAAATATGACAAAATACCGTATAGTTGTTCTGGATTGACTGAGATAGGGAAAAACATAATATCCAATATTGCCAGGGATGCCAAAAAGGGGGCATTTTCAAACATTTGCATCTGGAATGTAAATTGTTTTGACTTTCCTGGAGGGGTAATTTGGTAGTTTATATTACAAACCTTAAAATGTGCCTAACTTTTACCCCAGCAATCCCTCCTCTAGAAATTTATCCTAAGGAAATAATCAAGGATGTGCACAAAGACTTAGCTACAAGAATGTTTACTACACCGTTATTTTAACAGTGAAAAGTTGGGGGTTGGGAGTATTGACTATTAAGATTTGACAGAGTTAGGTGGGGGGTACATGGGTCTTCATTACTGTATTAGTTTTCTATTGTTGCTGTAACAAATTACCATAAAGTTAGTGGCTCAAAACAACACACATTTGTTATCTTACAGTTCTGTAGTTCAGTCTGACCCAGGTCTCACCGTCAAAGCTGAAGTCCCGGCTCCGGAACGTGTCCCTTCTGGAGGCTGGAGGGGAGAGTACATTTCCTTGCCTTTTCCCGCTTCTGGGGGCCGCTCACATTCCTTGGCTCAGGGCCCCCTTCTTCCAACTTCAAAGCCAGCAACACAGCATCTCTCAGATCCTTCTTCATCACCACATCTTTTCCTTTTATTTTCTTTTTCTGTCTTCCTCTTCCACTTTTAAGGACCCTTGTGATTAATTGGGCCTACCCCGAGAACCCAGCCTAATTCTCCTGGTTTAAAGCCAGCCGATTAGTAACCTTAGCTCCCCTCGCCATGTAACTACAGGTCCTGGGAATTGGGGCACCGAAGTCTTTCTGGGCCGTTATTCTGCCTACACAGTTGTATTAGTCTATGTACTTATCCGTCTGAAAATATTTATCAATATTTAAAGTATTAAATATTTAAGAACCCAAACCTAATTCATACTGAGCGCACGGATGAAAGGAGGATGTGCCCATTAAAAATCGTAATTAGGAAAACATGTCGTAACATGGGACGATCTTCATTATTACAGTAAGTGGAGGGAGGAACAAGTCTCAAAAGGAATATGCACAAGATGCCAGTTATGTTAAACAAAACCCCAAGCAAATCTCTATGTAAGTGAATTTAAAAAAAAAAAAAGTCTGACAGGACATAGGTCAAAATGTTAAAAATGTTTATCTCCGCACGGTGACTTTAGTTTTGTTTTTTTCTGCATTTTTCAAAACACGTGTTATACGTTTATTATGTTTGCGATGTAGAAAAACAGGCGATTGCGAGCGTCTCCCGAGGACCACCTTCTGGTCTCCTCGCTTCAGTCCCATTCCCTCTCGCTCGGCCCTCAGCTCGTCCTCCGCGAGGCCGCTGCACAGCCGTGACAGGCCGCCTTTCGGGCCGAGCTGCCCTCTGCAGAGCCCGCTCCCCTCCGGGGCCGGGAAGGAGCCCCGGGTGAAGCATGGCGGCGACCCCGAGCTTCCCGAAGACTTGCTCAGGGCGAAGCAAACCCGAGGCGCGAAGAACTTAACCGGTGTCTTGGCAGCTGGATGCGGCGTACAGGAGCCAATCTCATAATCTCGCTGGCACACGTTAATAGTTTTAATTAACGAGACTGTTTCTAATACACAGAAGAGCTGAGGGCGGCGGCCGAGCG